GCTCAGCCTGCCCCGCCCTGTCCCCTTCGAGCGCCTTCCGTGGCTCCCATTGCCCCTGCGCTGTGGATCCAACCCTGTGCCGGAAAGGCCCCTCCCCGAGTGGGAGCCGGACGTCTAGGCTTTACTCCCCACCCACCTCCTTGGCAGAATGAAGAGAGCCATGTCACTCAACGTGCTGAATGTGGAGGGCCCGAGGGCCGCCGGGACTCAGGTGAGGGGCGAGAGGGACGCCTGGGGCAGGGACGGGGCCTGGCAGGCCCAGAGACCAGGGAAAGGCGGGCAGTCAGGCTGGCATGAGCCAGGAGGGGGCAGGTGGTGCTGGAAGGCCCCCAGGGCGGGAACAGGTGGGTTTTCCCTGGGGCAGAGGCGAGAGTGTGGACCAAGCTGGCTGCCAGGCTGGATGTGGCAGGTGAATGTGAACCTGGGAGGCGGACACAGGGCAGGGGCATGGCCTCGGTGCAGCTGGAGAAGAGCTGTGCCCGCCCTCGCCTGGCCTCAACCACACCCTGTGCCCGCCCCCAGTTCCCCAGCCGGCATCTGGGCAAGGCCCCTCGGATCCTCAGCGCCAGCACCCAGGACCTGAGCCCCCGCTAGAGCCGACTGGACCATACTGGACGCAGCATCTGGGGGGGACAGGGGCATTCATCTCCTGACTCCCCGCCTCAGGGTGCCCATGGAGCAGGCTTCCCGCCATCCCCGGCTGCTGCGATTAAAGGCTATGGCTTTGACAGTGAGGCTCTGACAGTCCCCTCCCTAAGGCACCCTCAGAGCGCGGGACCCCGGGCCAGACAAGACTCAGAGTCGTCACAGACACCTTTTATGGCCCGCCCACCCCTCACAGCTGCTGGGCAATCTGCTCTATCCTCCGCAGCGTCTCCTCTGACTCCAGCTGCTCCAGACTGAGCAGGGACAGGCCCAGCTGATCCTCCTGGAGGGGACAGGGAGAGGGAGGTGTCAGACACAGGGTGGGGACCAAGACGGCTGCTACAGGTCCCCTACCGCCCCGATGGGGACCCAGGGGTCCCAGACTACAGGGACAGCAGGACTACAGGATGGGGGTTGGAACTTGGAAATGACGGTAGAGAGTGTGCTGTCCGTGCTAACCGGAGACAGGCCAAGGGAGGGAGAGTCAGAGAATCAGTCTAGGAAGGAAGAGCTCTCCCAAGGCCAGCATGAGCCCCTCCTGAAAGAGCCTGGCACCTTCTCACCCCAAGTTCTCTCACCCACCACCTTGGGCCAGCTGCCGGCATCTGTGGCCCTTTGACTCCTCCCCAGTCTCCAGGGCCTGCACATGGGTGCACACTAAACTTCTCCTTGTGGCTGGAGCTGGGGAGCGGGAGAAGTCCCAGGGAGCGGGAGAAGTCCTGGGGACTTTCTGGAGGAGGAACCCAGGATGGGAGGGTGACGGGAAGGGAGCACGGGCCTCACCCGGTGGAAGGGCTGTGCCATCTGCCTCAGGAAGTACTTGGCCACTTGGACGCCCTCATCTACGGTCAGGTTGAGGTTGGCGTCTGTGAGGTGCTCCTGGATCCAGCGAGGCAGCTTCCCCCGCTTGTCTGCCCGGGCAAACCGCTGAGAGCAGCGGGGGGGGAGCATCAGGACCCCCATCGGAGGGAGCCCGTGTCATCCTCCACCCTGCAACCCTCCCCATCTGGAAATTGAATGGGAAACAGCTGGCTTCTGGGCCAGGGTGGGGGGAACAGGGGGCCCTGAGCCTGCACCTTGTCGGCAAAGATCATGAGGCCATAGTCGGTCTTGCCCCGGATGGCCCGACCCACACACTGGGCCGCGTGGCGCATGGCGTCAAAGGTGAGAAAGTCATTCTCTCGGATCTGGAACTGGTCCCGCAGGTATTCCAGCCGTGCCTGCAGAGGGCAGGGGGCCCAGGGATGAGAGCCGGCCCTTCCCAGACCATGCAGGTCCAGGGTGGGAGCCCGAGAAATGCCCTAGCGTCCTACGGCCACAGTCCGCTCACCTTGAGAATTCGGCTCTGGGTATAGACGTAGGGGACACCAAACATGATGACAGCCCGTCCATAGTGGTGCACTGAAGGGCGGGGTGGCAGGGAGAGCGGTTATAACCCGGCTGGTTGGAGAGAAAAGAGGGCCGGCCCTGCGTGCCCCAGGCTGTGCTGTCAGAGTGGGGAGAGTGTGCGCCCACGGGTACCCAGGGACGGGAGGGAGGGAGGTCCCTGTGTGCCCAGGCTGTGGGGGGGAAGTCTCCTGAGGGGGAAGACCCAGCTCCAGAGAGCCCCACACAGGTACCAGGCAGGGAGAGCCCGGCCCACTCACCAAAGTCGATTCCCTCAGACACCTTGCCCCGGGCCACCGAGAGCAGGATGGCTCCGCGGCCGTTCTCGCAGGCCTGGGTGGGAGGCCAAGACACAGGCTGTCACTCCCCAGAGTCACCGCCTCAGTCCACTCCCACTGTCTTTCAGCCTCCCCACCACACCCACCTCCTGGTATTTCTCCAGAGCGACACTGGTCTCAGCCCCGTCCTGGGTCTCGATAAAGAGCAGCTTGTTCCTCTGGATGTTTTCAAGGATGCCCTAGAGAAGGGCACCAGGGAGGCCAAGGTTGGCAGTGGCAGAAGGTGGATTCAGGGCACGGCTGACCTGGTCACACCAAGTCTGCTAGGGATCCAATGTGCAGTCATCTCTCTCGGGCCTCAACTTGCCCAGCTGAGATATGGGAGGAAGGGAGTAGGACTATCCAACCTCACTTCCTTTGGGAAATAGTGATCCAGGCGGGGAACCGATCACTGCTGGGCAAATGGGCAGGCCTGGGGCCCAAGGTGGCCAATCAAGACTCTCTGTCCCCTGCCAGCGACTGGTGGAGGGGCTGACTGTAAGCCTGGCGTGCCAGTCAGAAGCTTGCCTGAGATTTCACCCATGACACTGTGAGAGAGGCCCTTTGGAACTGATCAAGGACAAACACACAGACCGGTGGGACCAAATGGAGGATGCAGAAACACACAGTCAGCTGTGCAATCCACCAAAGAGAAAGCTCTTCAGTCAATGGTACCAGAGCAAGTAGATTTCCCAACGGAAGAAAAATAAACTCTAACCCCTACCTCACACCACACACAAAGATGAACTTGAGGCACCTCACAGACCTAGATGTGAAAGCTAAAACGAAATAGCCTATCTTAGTGACCCTGGGATAGGCAAAGCTTTCTTACATAGGACACAAAGGTACCCAGGATGCAGGGATCAGTGGCCGGCAGCCATCTCTCCCACGTGTGGAAAACCCATCTGAGGTCTTGGCTGTGAGGGAGGAGGTCCCCACCCCCATACTAGGGTTAGCCAAGTTCACTCATGTCCCATGAAGAAGTGCTTGCTTCAAAGCACCCGAGGGCCGGGCTCAGAGGTAGTACAGAACAGCCCCCTCCCACCCACTCCCTGCCGTTCACCAATGCCTGGCTGCAGCGAGCTCTGTTTCTGCCTCCTCCTGTAGACTTGAGGCTCTGGCCCAAGTCTAGTTCAGCCTGAATGTTCCAGAACCTTCCTCTAATGGTACAGCACCCAGCTAGTCATGCCTGCTACCCAAGGTCTCCCCGCCATGCCAGATGTGATGGAGGGACACAGGGATGGGGCCAACCCCAAGAAAAGCAGCGAGGGAACAAGGAATCCACAAGGCAGGGGTGAGGTAAAATCTGCCACGGGCATACCTTTGAGTATCACAGAGGTGCTCATTGAGTCCGAGTTCTTTTTTTTTCTTGAGTTGGGGTGTCACTCTGTCACCCAGGCTGGAGTGCAGTGGCACCACAGCTCACTGCAACCTTGATCTCCTGGGCTCAGGTGATCTGCCCGCCTCAGCCTACCAAGTAGCCAGGACTGCTGGCACACCACCAAGCCAGGCTATATATATATTTTTTTTGTAAAGATGGGGGCCTCGCTATGTTGCCCAGGCTGGTCTCCAACTCCTGAGCTCAAGCGATTCTCCCACCTTAGCCTCCCAAAGTGCTGTAATTACAGGTGTGAGCCATCACACCCAGCCTCGTGTCTTAGTTCTTCATCTGACGTGGTGGGGGCAGGGCACAGGTTGTCTATTCTTTACACTGTCCATATGTGCTGTTTGCACTCTCTGGCTACACAGGACACATGTCACCACTGAAAACTTAAGGGGAATGAAGCCAGCACACAGAGGGGCAGGCCAGAGCTGAGGAGAGGGCCTTCAGGGCAGTACGGCTGTGGTGCCTGGCGTACCTGCTCGTACCAGGAGGCCACGGTGCTCTCCATGTACTGGTAGCTGGTAAAGAAGGCCACGATGCCATCGGGGACCACCGCGGACATCTCCAGCAGGAGGTTCCCGTAGTTCCGGATCACCGCTGCAAGGGGTCAGAGGTCAGGCCCTTTCCCCACCCAGGTCCTCCTCCCAACTCCATCTTGAACTTGGGGTTCCCAGAAACCCTACTGAGGGTGTCTGCAGGGTTGTTCACATATATCCCACCTCTCCTCCTTTCAGGCCTGTGGGAGTACTGCCTCCCTGGCCCCTGAAGTCAGGCATAGTCACATGACTTGCCGTGGCCAATGAAATGAGTGCAGATGTGGCACGTGTCACCGCCAGGTGAACACCCTTACAAGCAGGTGAACAATTCACCATGATCCCCCCCCACCAGTCACATCATACTGCCCCTGATGTGCCCAATGGTGGAAAGTCCCAGAGTGATACAGGGCAGGCCCCACCAGCTCACGAGGGACAGGCACCGTGGCCAAGAAGAAACTTCTGTGGGTTAAGCAACTGAGATTTGGGGTTGTTTGTTATGGCAGTGTGATTCAACCCATCTGACTGATACACCTCCCTTTTGGGAACCCACAGAAACCCACAAAAACCGACCCCACAGACCACATACCAATATCTTCCCGGGTCTCAAACTTGGAGCTGATGGCCACCTGGTCATTGCCACGGCCGATGATCTGGAGAGAGCAGCAGAGTCATGATAAAGCAGTATGTCACCTGCTAGTACTGTTCTAAGCTTTTTATAGACATAGTGTCACTGAACGAACCCTGTAATCGGTACTGCACACATGACCTCGGCTCAGAGAAGGTGAGTCACCTGCCCAAGGTCACACAGCACATAAACAGCAGAGATGGAATTGAACTTGAGTCTGTCCACATGCTAGCCAGTACAGCCTCCAGGCCAACCAGATCCCCAAGAACACTTGTCACCATGCTGATGTGTCCCCACTGCAAACCTCACAAAAACACCATACAGGGAGTGGTCACTGCTGGCCCACAACCTCTGAAGGGCAATCTCAAAAACCAAAAAACTCTGAATAATGCCACATTTTTTTTAAAGTTTGGCACAAACTCATTAAACTGCAAAATCTGCCCTGGCCTGAGTCTATTTAGGGGCCTATCTTATCCCTCAGAGTGAGGCCTCAAAATCTTCGCTGCTGAAATACGGAGGAACAGCCTAGACCCCATGGGGGGCATCACAAACCATGCAGCACATGCCTCATGTCTAAAGTCTGGAAAATTCTGAATTCTAAAACACACGCGGCCCCAGGACTTCAGGTAAGGCACTGAGGGCCTGTATTAAGATGCCCACGTTGGCCAGGCTCGGTGGCTCATCCTGTAGTCTCAGCCCTTTGGGAGGTAGAGGCGAGTGGATTGCCTGAGCCCGCGGGTTCGAGACCAGCCCAGACAACTTGATGAGGCCTCGTTTCTACAATAAATAAAAAATTAGCTGGGCATGGTAGCATGCACCTGTAG